CACGAACCCGTGTCCCCTGCATCGGCAGGCGGACTCTCAACCACTGTGCCACCAGGGAAGACCCACACTTATTTTTTAAAGTTTTTAATTTGTTCAGGTGTCTAGATAAGGGCTCCATTCCGGAATTCCAGCTGCCTGAATATTTAAGAGTGAGAACTGGAAATTAAAGAGCAAACAATGTTACCCGTGGTCAGCCACTTCCTCTATAAAATAGTCTGCATATGGCTTCCAAAACACATGCTATTTTGAGGGACGTCAGTGCTTCTGAGAGATGAAAAACTGGTTCTCCAGTTTTTGAGGTTCCAGCATAATTTAAAAAGTGAAAAATGTCCCTCCAAAGTTCTAAAAACTCTGGTTTATTTAGAGTAAGATGATGAACATCTTGTATTTCTGTGGCTCTCCGTAGGACCTCTTTTGGAGGTGATGCAAATTTCTCCATTGAAGTCTGGGCCCCGCCTGCCTCAGATAACTGTGACCAGGTCTTGAGGGTATTGCCAGAATGTGTTGGCTGCAAAACCTCCTCCCATTCCCAGCCAGGCATCTGAGCAGATGAAGCTCCGGAAGTGGAGTGGTTTAGCATTCTCATCTGAATGTTTCTTTAAATGCGAAGGACGTCAATAAACAAAAAGAGTTTGCATCTGCACATCACTTTAAAGTCTCCAAGATCTTTTCATAGTGGATCCTTTTCACTGTTGAAGAGAAGGGGGGATGGTCGCTTTTATTTATGAAAGGAGTGATGAAGACACAGGATGAGTCAGTCAGAGTTGAGAGTGGAGCTGAAACCTGAGCCAAAGGTCCTCCACCCACCTCATCTGCTGCCACCAGTGCTGCCAAATCTCCAGGCTCTCACCCTATTTCGTCTCTGACTTCCCCTGTTCAAAATGACCCCTAGGCTTCCCTTCATGCCTCACCCCCCTCCTCCTCCCCCATCCTATGGATGAACTCTGGTTCTCTGTTATGGCCACTGGACCACCAGTAGGGGGAAACGGGCATGCCAAAGGTCCAGGGAGCTTACCTCCTTGCCCTCTAGACATTTTTGTCACTTCCTTGCCTGCCTCCTTTATCCAGTGTTTACAGCTCCCTCTGTCTAGAACTGGTTCCTGGGTCCAGCTTTGTGTTCTGCTTTGCTCTTTTAAAGGTGGTGGCGCAGAAGAGCCTCAGAGAAGTTGGCTGGGGGCTCGCAGAGCTGGTGGAACGGCTTATAGATATTGTCAGGAACCTTCAGAGTCAGAGACATCTCCCAGAATCTGAACCAGACAATGAAATTAGCATCCTGGCTGTGGTAGGCTCATCTGGGAGAAGAAAGGATGTGCCAGGGGGTGGGGCTAGGGACAGGTCCCTGGGACAGCTAGGGAGCAGCCTGCATCTGCAGTTGAAGGATGCGCTAAGTCCCAGTCTTTTACCGTATGCTCTTCACTACCAGACGTGGATGATCGGGAGTTTGGAATGCTTGAGGTGAGGTGAGAAGGCTTCAAGTGGGCTAGGTTCTATCCTTATCACTCCACCTAAGCAGCTCTAAGATCACCCGTGACCTCTATGCAAATCCTGTAGACGTTCTAGCTCTTATCCTCATTGGCATTTCAGCAGCCTTTGACACACTCAACCACAACTTCATTCTTTTTTTGTTTTTTAATTTTTAAAAATTTTTGTGTAATTTTGAAAGGTTACAGTCCATTTACAGTTATTAGAAAATACTGGTTATATTTCCTGTATGTACAATATATCCTTGTAGCCTATCTTACACCCAACAGTTTGTTCCTCCCACTGCCCTATCTCTATATTGCCCCTCCCTCCCCTCTACCCACTGGTAACCACTCATTTATTTTCTATATCTGTGAGTCTGCTTCTTTACACAGCTTCATTCCTGAAGCTTTCTTTTCCCTTAGCTCTGGGACACGAGTCTTCCAGCCTTTCTGCATTTCTCTCCAGCTGCTCCTTTTCAGTCTGTTTTGCAGGTTTACTCTCCACTGCTAAGCAGTGAAATGCTGGGATTCTTCAAGGCTGAGTTTTAGGTCACTGTCTGTTCCCCCTACATGGTCCTCCGCATTCCTGTGGTTTTAACTGCCACCTCTGTGCACAAATATATCTTCAGCCTGGACCCTTCTCTGAGTTCTGGTCTGGTGTCTTCCTTCTCATCTTCTCCTCTTAGCATCTCAAAGACACATCGCACTTAATCCGTCCTGCACTGTTTCTCCTCTGGAATACCCTGTCTCAGCAACTGACCCTGTAGCCCTTCCAAGTACACAAGTCAGAAACCTGGGAATCATGTCACCACTTCCATCATCTGCCTAAACATCTCTTGAATCTATTTACTATTCTTTTTTTTAAAAAATGAATTTATTTATTTATTGGCTGCATTGGGTCTTCGCTGCTGCACGCGGGTCTTCTCTAGTTGCTGAGAGCGGGGGCTACTCTTTGTTGCGGTGCGCCGGCTTCTCGTTGTGGTGGCTTCTCTTGTTGCAGAGCATGGGCTCTAGGTGCACGGGCTTCAGTAGTTGTGGCACACGGGCTTCAGTAGTTGTGGCTCGCGGGCTCTACTGGGCAGGCTCAGTAGTTGTGGCGCACGGGCTTAGTTGCTCTGCGACATGGCGGATCTTCCTGGACCAGGGCTCGAACACATGTCCCCTGCGTTGGCAGGCGGATTCTTATCCACTGTGCCACCAGGGAAGCCCCCGATTTAGTATTCTTGAGCTCCTTAAAGACGACTCTAATCCAATCCTATGACTATTTCTTGCCTGGATTTCTACCAAAGTCTTTTAATTGCTCTGATCTGTTCCCTCCAGAGTGTCACACTTCTTCCCATCACAGGGCCCACACCATGGAATGTTCTTCTTTTACTCTGTCATGTAGGTAGTGCCTGCTCATCCTTCAGACCTCAGCTAGATTATCACTTCCTTGGAGAAGCCTTCACTGATTTCCTTGAACAAGTCAAATCCCCTTATTAGAGGCTCTTATGTATGATTCCATATACCTTTCATTTGTAGCAGTTGTTACAGTTGTGACTTGATAATGATTGGCACCATAATTTATTAATGTCTTTCATCCCTTTTCCCTTGCACTGGACTCTAAGCTCTATGAGGGCAGCGACCTTGATGGCTTTTGTTCTTTTGTTCACTCTTGTATCCCCAGGCCTAACACAGTGCTTGGCACATAGTAAGTGCTCAACAAACACCCAGTGTATTTGAGTGAGTGAATAAATGGGTCCTCAGGGATTCAGTGTGTTGGGGTAGAAGGTCTGAGAGTCTGTCCATAAGTCCTGACGTTGCCACTCACTAGTATTATGACCTTGGACAAGTCATTTCATCTTTCTGAGTCTCAGATTTCTATCTGTAAAACAAACAAAAAATGATCCATGGCCTGCACCTCATTGGTTTAAGGTGGAGATTCTTTTTTAAAGATCTTGCTTAAAAAAGTGCTTGAGCAATGTGAAAATGTGGGACAATCAAATTAGCTATGACAATATAGTTAACCTCCATGAGCTCCCTCTTTTGTAAAATGGGGATAATAAACCTATCTTGGAAAGTTGTTAGGCAAATTAGAGGTGAGCAGTGGAAAATATTCAGCAGGTGGTACCTACTCCTGTTATGATTGGCAAAAAAGAATGGGAAATGGATTTTGCAAAGTTGGGAAGGAAAGTCAGGTGCTGAAGGTGGGAAGGTGGTGAGCAGATGAGAGGATGTGTTGGGGAATAACAGGACCTGAAGTTAAAGAAAATCAGGGAGTGTGTGTTAGGGGCCCCAGAGAGCAGGGCCTGTATGCAGGCAACATGTTTGTCTTGGCCCTTAGGAAGAGTTATGGTAGTAGTCTGGGGAAGATTATTTCAGCCTCTGTAGCTTATCTTAGTGACTATCTGTATTATTTACTTTGTAAAGCCCCTATAATATGGGCCTAAAATTTTCAAACTTTTTGGGGGTATGAGCTAAGAACTCCACATCTGTTGTACAAAATACTAGAAAATATATTGCAGTTGAAAAAACAAATGAAAATCATCCATAACCCCATCACCAAGAAATCGCCATTCTCTAATATTTTTGCCATACTATATATTATTCCAGATTGTCTTCAAGGCGCATACTTTGAGGGCCTAACTATGTTTTGAAAAACCCGTTAGGAGGTAAGTAGAAAATTATAGATGGTTGGTAGAACTGGAATATATATACACATATATATGTGGTTTGTTTTTTTTTTTCGGTATGCGGGCCTCTCACTGTTGTGGCTTCTCCCGCTGCGGAGCACAGGCTCCGGACGCGCAGGCTCAGCGGCCACGGCTCACGGGCCCAGCCGCTCCGCGGCACGTGGGATCCTCCCGGACCGGGGCCCGAACCCGCGTCCCCTGCATCGGCAGGCGGACTCTCAACCACTGCGCCACCGGGGAAGCCCCGAACTGGAATATATTTGATGCATTCCTTAAGAGATTTTCTTTTTTCCTTCTTCCTTCCTTCCTTCCCGTCTCCTTCTTATTATTATTCTCCTCCTCCTTCTTTTTTTTTTCTTAAATGATTCATCAATAGCCTTTGTCAGATGGAGTGGACCTTTCCTTGGCTTCTCCAAAACTAGTGACTTCCAACACACCTGAGGGGAAAATGAGAGACATCTCCATGACCTAGAAGAGATCCAGGAAAAATTACAAGAAAACTTCATGTGGAAAGAGGCCCTTGAAGAATAAATGCAGGGTGAGTTGATTTTATTTGGTAGAGGAGGTTTAATTATGAAAGCTGGGGCGGCGTTCCGTGGCTTTGTTTTTTGGGGACAGCATCTGAGAGCCCAGCTGTGTTATCCCTGTGGTGTGAACGAGGAAGGAGTGGGCTGAGCTATTTTTGTGACTGGATGTGTTTTTGGACCTGACTGGAGGTGTGATGTATCACAGGCCCTTCATAGACAGAAACTCGTTTTCTAAGACCTATAAATCCAGAACCTAGACCTGATTTTGCTTGCTCACCGTACATCTGTGTTATCTACCTGAGGAGATTCAGAAATAGGCGGCTTTTTATTTTTCACTAGTAAATGTCCTTATTAATGAAGCATGCAACTTTGTGTATAGTCCTTCATAAATTCTACTCAACTGTAATCTCTGGCCAGTGTGTTTAATAATAAAGGGTAACAATGTAGGAAACAACCCTTCTGTCCTGACTTTTAGGTTTGCTGTTGTTCAGTGGCTCAGGATTGAAAAACAATTCACACCTGCCCCTTAGACAAGTGCTCTGGTCTCCCTTGCCTCTGCCTCCTGACTCAGCCACGGCAGGCTTTGTATGCTTTAGAGACGTATCTCTTAGAGCTTTCAGATATTTAAATCATCTTGCTCTGTTAAAAAGTTTCTTATTTAAGTGGAGAAGCATGATTCCTTGGGAAAGGTTTCTTAAGGAAACTAGTTAGAGTACAGTTTATTAATTGTTCCAAAAACGATCTGAGAAATAAAGTGACCTCTTAGTTCCTGTGTTCTCCTAAATTTAGGATAGGTTCCTAATTTAAAATCTGAAATCGAGCTTTAAACTTGAGGATTAAACTTTAAAATTTTAATTCAAAAATCAAAAAATATAAAAAGACACAACAAAAGTGTTGTGTTCCTACCCTCGTCCAATTCCTCTTATTCCCCCAGTTAACCACCTTTACTAGTTTTCTTAAGTGTCCATTCAGAATTTACTTTTGTAAGTACAAGCAAACACAAATTTATATTCTTATCTCCCCCAATCTTTTTTTTTACACAAAAGTTAGCATACTATATACACTGTTCTGCATTTTGCTTTTCTTTTTTTACTTAATATATCTTGATACTTTTACAAATCAGTACCTCAAGCATTTTCTCTTTAAAGCTGCATAATATTCCAATTTATGGATATGCCAACATTTATTTACTCAACGCTTTACTGATGGATGGGTGATTATTCCCAGTTATTTATAATTGCAAACAATGCTGAAGTCAATTACTGTATATACATCATTTTATATGAGTGCAGATATAATTGTAGGTTAAGTTACCAGTAAGGATTGCTGGGTCACAGAGTAAATTTTGCAATTTCGATAATGTTGACAAACTGCTCTCCAGTTGGGTTATATCAGTGGACACTCTTACAGAAGAAATGTTTATCCCCCAAGCCTGCCAACACAATGTGCTGTCAAACTTTTGTGTTTTTTTGGCCAATCCAATGGGATTTTAAAAAGTGATATATTTGTGTACTATACTTTTAATTTGCATTTCTCCATGAATTGTCTGTTTATATCTTGTGTTGTTGGTCCTTTAAAAATTTGATTTTTAGGAACTCATTATAAATTAGGGAGATTAGCCTTTTGTCTGTGATATGAATTGCAGATTTTGTTCCCCAATTTGTCATTTATCTTTTGATTCTGTTTAGTGTGGGTTTTAGAATGTCATATAGACATTTTTATATTTTCAAGTAGTACATTTTATCAGTGTTTTCTTTTGTGGCTTCTAGATTTTAAGTTTTAGTTAGAAAACTTCACCACCTCAAAGGTGTGTGTGTGTGTGTGTGTGTGTGTGTGTGTGTGTGTCTGTGTGTGTGTGTGTGTGTGTGTACATTTTTATATTAAATCTTTGGTTTCCCATATAAATCTTTCACCCATTTGAAATTTATCCTAGCGTGTGTCCTAGTGAATTTTAAATAATAATGTAAATGTTTTATAACATTTATAATATTTAATGCTGTTGCTCTGGTTGAAATGTTTCTCCTTATTTAACTGGAGAAACATGATATCTTTGGAAAAATTATGACTTTCTATGGTTATTTAAGTGTGCATTTTTAATTTTAATTTTTAACTGTGGTAAAATACATATAACAAATGCACCATCTTAACCATTTTTAAGTTTACAGTTGAATAGTGTTAAGTATATTCATATTGTGTGCAACCAAGTTCCAGAACGTTTTCATCTTGCAAAACTGAAACTCTATACCCATTAAACAGTAACTCCCCATATACCCTCCTTCCCCAGCCCCTAGCAACCACCATTCCACTGTCTGTTTCTATGAGTTTGATTACTCCAAATAGCTTATATAAGTGGAATCGTGAAGTGTTTATCTTTTTGTGACTGGCTTATTTCACTTAGCATCCATATTGTTGGATCCAAGTTTCATCCATATTGTTGACTGTGTCAGAATTTCCATCCTTTTAAGGGCTGAATAATATTCCATTGTATTAGACACATGTATATACCACATTTTGTTTACCCATCCATCCATCCATCCATCGATGGACATTTGGGTTGCTTCCACCCCTTGGCTACTGTGAATAATGCTGCCGTGAACATGGGTGTATGAACATCTCTTTGAGACCTTGCTTTCAATTCTTTTGTATATATGCCCACAAGTGGAATTACTGGATCATATGGTAATTCTATTTTTAATTTTTTGAGGAATTAAATATACATATTAAGTATTTTTAAAATTTAACTTAGAAAATTCAAGTATGCCTTAGCAAGTACAATGTTGATTATTTTGGTTATTTTGGTTTTGATTATTTGGACCAGTCCAGGGCAGTTTTAAAACATAAGATCTGAATATATCCCTATTTCCTGAAACATCATTTCCTGAAGTTCTCACAAGATTGTTTTTAAGACAATAGATTAGTTATTCTTCAAGTCAGCACTTTAACAGCTGCTAAGCAATTTGACTGCCTCATCACAATGATTTCCTTTGACCCTATGTAAACACACCATGAGCTGCCACGGAAATCACACAGCCTAAAGGGCACAGTGTTTCTCGAGACGCGGGACTCTCTGTAACACTAATAAGAATGCAGATAATCTCCAGGTTTGTTGGCCTATGTTTTTTTTTTTCCTTATATGTTCTTTTTTTGGCTTTGATATCTGTATTATGGTAACTTCATAATATTAATTAAAAATCTTTCCACCCTTAAAAATAAAAGTAGAATCCAAGGCCCATGGCCAGACTATTGAGTTAGCATCTCTGGGAGTAAGCCCCAAGGATTTGCATTTTTGACAACTTTGCAAGGGATTTTCATGCACACTAAAGTTTTGATAAGCATTTTGGTGCAGCTTACCCAGCAGGGGTGATTATTTGCAATACAAATTTAATTACTGGGGAGTACAGTTGACCCTTGAACAACATGGGTGTTAGGGGCACCAAACGCCTATACAGCCAAAAATCTGACTATAACTCTTTTCTTTTTTTGTAAACAGGAGTCCTATTTTATTTTATTTATTTATATTTTTAATTAATTAATTAATTAATCTTTGGCTGCGTTGGGTCTTCGTTGCTGCACGTGGGGTTTCTCTAGTTGCCTTGAGCGGGGGCTACTCTTCGTTGTGGTGCGTGAACTTCTCATTGCGGTGGCTTCTCTTGTTGCGGAGCTCAGGCTCTAGGTGCGTGGGCTTCAGTAGTTGTGGCTCGCGGGCTCTAGAGCGCAGGCTCAGTAGTTGTGGCGCACGGGCTTAGTTGCTCTGTGGCATGTGGGATCTTCCCGGACCAGGGCTCGAACCTGTGTCCCCTGCATTGGCAAGCAGATTCTTAACCACTGTGCCACCAGGGAAGTGTTCACTATAACTTTTGACTGCCCCAAAACTTAACTACCAATAGCCTACTGCTGACTGGAAGCCTTACAGATAACATAAACAGTTGATTAACACATATTTTGTATGTTTTATGTATTATATACTGTATTCTTACAATAAAGTAAGCCAGAAAAAAAATTTTTATTAAGGAAAGCACAGGAAGAGAAAAATACATTTACAGTACTGTACTGTAGCTATCTATACTGTAAGTTTACATCATCTGTTTATGAGATGAATCATCTGTCTGTCAGTATCTCCGTACACATTGTCTTATATGATAAAAAGCACTGAGGATGTTATACATATTACTAACACTAGACATCAAAAATGAAAAGATAATGCAAAAAAGAAAGTCACATTTATTTACAGGTGTAACTATTCATGCATTGATAACAAAGAAGCAACAGTGTGCTTGCTTTGTGGTAGCCTAGCCTATACACTAGTGAATTAATCATTATAAAATTTTTATGGCATACAATATTACAGTCATATTCATAACACAGTGTTAGAAACATTGTTTTTTTTTTTAAAGAAACAGTTACCTATGATGATAGGCTGATAGAGAGGGAGAGAAAGAAAACTAACACACTACTAATTTTATATTAAATATCACTCACCTTATGCTTGTGTAAGGAAAGGCTATCCACTTCAATACAAGTCTTGCACGTGACATTCTACACATATATTTTTGTATATTTATTGATCCATATATATTTTTGATCCACATATATTTTTGTATATTTATTGAAAAAGATAAGTGGACCTTCGCAGTTCAGACCTGTGCTATTCAAGGGTCAACTGTAATTTTATGCAGAACAATTCTACTTAGAATGGTTTGTTCCTGAAATTATTATTTTAAATTCCCAAGGGATCCAAGGGATCCTGGCTACTTTTAAAAAAAAAAAAAGCCTGTAGCTTATTCTCTTAGTAGAGAAATGAGATTCTTTAGATTCTGTTTTAAAGAAGTTTCTCAGCAATTAAGTTTATATAACAAATATTTCTGGCAAATCAATTGTTTAATAAACATCATTTTTTGTTCTTTTATGAAACCTATCATAATCAGTGGGTAAGCAGTTGAGTTTATCCCCAGAGAGATTAACATATCAAAATACGTCATTTCTGTAATAGTTACCAGTGTTTTATTTAATAGCTATTCAATATTTACGAATGTACGTCATGTTCCTTTTTTTCTAAGTATTTTTTTAACATCTTTATTGAAGTATAATTGCTTTACAATGGTGTGTTAGTTTCTGCTTTATAACAAAGTGAATCAGTTATACATATACATATGTTCCTATATCTCTTCCCTCTTGCATCTCCCTCCCTCCCACCCTCCCTATCCCACCCCTCTAGGTGGTCACAAAGCACCAAACTGATCTCCCTGTGCTATGCGGCTGCTTCCCACTAGCTATCTATTTTACGTTTGGTAGTATATATATGTCCTTGCAACTCTCTCTCACTTTGTCACAGCTTCCCCTTCCCCCTCCCCATATCCTCAGGTCCATTCTCTAGTAGGTCTGTGTCTTTATTCCCGTCTTACCCCTAGGTTCTTCATGACTTTTTTTTTTTTCTTAGATTCCATTTATATGTGTTAGCATATGGTATTTGTTTTTCTCTTTCTGACTTACTTCATTCTGTGTGACAGACTCTAGGTCCATCCACCTCACTACAAATAACTCAATTTCGTTTCTTTTTTCTAAGTATTTTTAAGAACCAACCAGTCAAGTGTAGATTATTTTCTCTCTCAGTAGGGGAAAAGCTTGTGTTAGCTAAAAAATAAAAGAAGTAACTAGCAGTTCTTAAACATTTTTAAAACTGTGATTAACGATAAGTAAAATCCTATCAGCTCAATAGAAAGAAGAGTGATACCCCACATAGATTTTGAGCATGGCTTCTTGAAGGGCAGCTCTCCTGCTCTCATGACCTAAGTGTCCACAGCCCACACCCTAGATAGGGCCTTTTGTCTCTTCTCAGTCTGACTCTTGGATTCACCTCATGCTTCTGTCACCTCAAGGTACAAATAGGGGAAATTTTCACCTTCACAGTCCATACTCTGGCATTTCCCTTACTGTCCCTTATTCTACCTAACTATGGTCATTGCAAGCACATAGTAGTTTTAAGGTAACAATTAAACTTTAGTACAGTTCGGGATTAGCCGATGCAAACTATTACATATCGAATGGATAAACAACAAGGTTCTACTGTATAGCACAGGGAACTATATTCAGTATCCTGTGATAAACCATAATGGAAAAGAATAAGAATGTACATATATGTATAACTGAATCACCTTGCTGTACAGCAGAAATTAAAACAACATTGTAAATCAATTATACTTCAATTAAAAAAAACCCTCAATGTACACTGAGAGGTAATAGGTACTAGCAGCTGTGATGAGTCTCATGTTCCCCAGTTTTATAACAGTTTAAAGCACTGACCTGGGGGGCATGGACATTCTGGGTGTCAGGGTGCCCGTGATCCCTTGCATGATGCCGTGATCCCTTTATCATGCATATTGATAAATATGCATGAAAAATTTCCTATGTGCCTGGCAGTGGGCTTGTGCTTAGAACACAGAGATGAGCAGGGTCTCTGCCAGCAAGGAGCTTAGAACTCAGTGAGGAAACAGACAGTTAAAAAAAAAAAGTCCACAGTAAGAACATGGGGCTGGATGTACCTAAGCTGGATGTACTGCCTGATCAAGTCCTGATGATGAGGAAGACAAGCTGTATGTGCTGATCACGATGTTTGGATACTTTCTATTTGCCATTTTTTTGATGGGACTTTCTTCCCCTCCCAATTTTTTTTTTTTAAATGTCTCTCTCTTTCTCTCACTGTTTGTTGCTTTTTTTCTTTGATTAATTAATTAATTTATTTTTTGCTGTGTTGGGTCTTCATTTCTGTGTGAGGGCTTTCTCTAGTTGTGGCAAGTGGGGGCCGCTCTTCATCGCGGCGCGCGGGCCTCTCACTATCGTGGCCTCTCTTGTTGTGGAGCACAGGCTCCAGACACTCAGGCTCAGTAATTGTGGCTCACGGGCCTAGTTGCTCCGTGGCACGTGGGATCCTCCCAGACCAGGGCTCGAACCCGTGTCCCCTGCATTGGCAGGCAGATTCTCAACCACTGCGCCACCAGGAAGCCCCCTTCCCAATTTTTTTGATTCCATAGTTGAACTCCCAGAAGCTCTGTCTTCCTCCTCATGCCCACTGCCTGACCAGAGCCACCTGGCACCCAAGAGGGCTTCCTTGTTTGCTCAATGTAAGTATGTGGTCTGCTTACAACTTGGGTTTGACCTGCTGCAGCAAGGAGCTGCAAGCGCGTGCTGTGTCCATCTCTCTGCTGTTAGGCTCACTCCTTGTCTAGTTCCCCCACACCTGGCCCCTCCCCATGGGGAGCTGATTACAAAGACAAAAGGAGTTGAAGACTCCCAAATTCCAGGCTAAGCCAGACCCATGAGCACTCAGAACCCAGGCAACTTTGGGCATCCATGCTGGGACCACCACTTACTGCCAACTGCCAATCCCCCAACCTGTTTAACTACCATCACTGTCCCAGTCTGGAGTGGTCCTTGCGAGCACGGATCCTGGAGCCAGACTGCTTGGGTTTGACTCCCAGCTCCTCCTCTCACTAGCTGTGTGATCTTGGACAAGTCACGTAACCTCTCAGAGCCTCAGTTCTCTCATCTGTAAGATGGGGATAATAGTACTTATTTCCCTTGTGGGATTGTCATGAGGCTGAATGAATGTGTATAAGTATGAGCCTAGAGGAGGAATGCTGTGTATTAGTAATTAGTTACTCCCTTAAAAGAAAACATTATGAAATATACAGAATGAATGACATAACCCTTAATCGGGAAGATTAAGTGTAAGTGGAGAGATATAAACAGCCATGGTCATCAATCACTGTACTACTGGTAGAAGATGCTAAGTATCATTAGAGATCAGGTAAAGCATTAGGTGAAAAGCAAGACGTGACTTTTTTTTTTTTTTTTTTTGGTACATGGGCCTCTCACTGTTGTGGTCTCTCCCGTTGCGGAGCACAGGCTCCGGACGCGCAGGCTCAGTGGCCACGGCTCACAGGCCCAGCTGCTCCGCCGCATGTGGGATCTTCCCGGACCGGGGCACAAACCTGCGTCCCCTGCATCGGCAGGTGGACTCTCAACCACTGCGCCACCAGGGAAGCCCCAAGACATGACTTTTGCTGATGCAGGGGGCTTCACAGAAGGATTCCTGAAAGAGGGCTAATGGGTAAGTAGAAATTAAGGTGGGAAAGGAGGGTATTGTTACTAGGACAACATCAGGGGTATGTATAACAAGGTCCTACTGCAAGTTGATGCACCAATTTTTTAAAAAATTTATTTTGCCTGTGTTGGGTATTCATTACTACGCGTGGGCTTTCTCTAGTTGCGGCGAGTGGGGGCTACTGTTCGTTGCAGTGCACAGGCTTCTCATTGCAGTGGCTTCTCTCGTTGCGGAGCACGGGCTCTAGGCGCACGGGCTTCAGTAGTTGTGGCGCACAGGCTTCAGTAGTTGTGGCATATGGGCTTAGTTTCTCCGTGGCATGTGGGATCTTCCCAGACCAGGGTTTGAACCTGTGTTCCCTGCATTGGCAGGCAGATTCTTAACCACTTTGCCACCAGGAAAGTCCCTTGATGCAACAGTTTTAATACCAGTATGTATAAAACTTTATCACACTCAAAGATACAAAGCTGCTTTTTGCTATTTGAAGACCTCTTAGTATGAACCATGAGAGGTGGCTAGTCCTGTTCTGGTTTTTTTCCCCAGGGGTCATCAATCCAACCTTTGACCTAGGGAGCCTCTCCTGTAGCCCGGAGGTGTCCAAGGATCACTGTACCTCACCGCCCACAGCCCTATACCTGGAGTCATGAGAGGTTTGCCTCCTGCCAGGCCTTATGTTCCCAGGCTCTCTCTTCTGGGCAGCAGTACTGGGAAGTGGACACTCAGCGTTGTAGCCACTGGGCAGTTGGGGTGGCTTCCCGGGGGATGAGGCGTGACCAGACCCTGGGAAGGACCAGGGATTCCTGGTATGTAGAGTGGAAAGGGACTAGCCAGCTCTCTGCATGGGACATGGTCAAGAAAACTGTCCTTGGCTCAAACAGACCTAGTGTGGTGGGCATCTGGCTGGACCTTGAGGAGGGAAAGCTTGCCTTCTATTCCGTGGCTGATCAGGTGAAGCTCCTCTGTGAGTGTCCAGTCTCTGCTGCCTTTCCTCTGCACCCTACCTTCTGGCTGTATGGCCTATTCCCTGGAAGCTCTCTGACTATAAGGCAAATAAGCGTATAAACATTCCCTGGGTGTTAAAACATGTTGATTTCCTGGTCTCTCTGCCTTCAAGCAGGGAGTCAACTTGACTTGAGTTAACATCCCACTTCCAAAGCTAAGGGATGCAAAGTAAATGTTTAACTCAGCAGGCTTGCATTGTTCAAACCCTGCACGGTCTGAAGAAAGGACAGGCTCTTGAGTGGGAGATAATATCTAAGCCCTTGGAATATCCTGCCTGAAAAGAGTGTATTTATCTGAGCGCCTTGGGCCACACAGTATCAGCTTGATTTCTGGAAGGGCTGGAAACTAAGGTCAGCCGCTTGGGCAGTGAGTCTGCCTACATGACCGACCGCCAGTCAAAGCCTTGGGCACCAAGACTTTAATGTGCTTCCCTGGTTGGCAGTATTCTGTGTGTGCTGTCACACGTCATCCTGGGAGAATTAAACATTGTCCCCATAACTCCACTGAGAGAGGAGTGAGTGGGCTCTCTTGGCCCCTGCCCTATGTGCCTTTTTCTGTTGCTGGTTTTAACCTGTATCCTTTCACTGTAATCATCTGTAACCATAAGTATAACAGCTTTGCTGAGTTCTGTGAGTCCTTCTAGTGCATCACTGAAAATGAGATTGATTTTAGGGGACCCCCCCCCACACACACAAGGGGCATGCTATCAATTGCTGTGTAATACTATTATCACACATTCAGTGGTTTCAAACAACACATATTTATTCTCTTGCAGCTTCTGTGGGCCAGGGGTCAGGATACAGCTTAGCTGAGGCCTCTGCTTTGGAGTCTCGCAAGCTGCAGTCAGGGTGTGAACTGGGGCCAGGTGACTTTGAGGCTCCACTGGGGAAGGATCTGCTTCCAATCTCACGTGGTTGTCGGCAGGATTCAGTTCCTTGTGGGTTGTCAGACTAAGGACCCCCCTCAGTTCCTTACTCGGTGGGCCTCTGCAACATGGCTGCTTACTTCTTCAAAGCCAACAAGGGAGATCAAGTCTCCTAGCAAGGTGGACATTAAATCTTATATAATGTAACCACAGAGACATATAATCACATGTATGCCATCGCCTTTGCCTTGTTCTATTGGTTAGAAGCAAGTCACAGGTCCCGCCCACATTTAAGGGGGTGGGGTTCACAAGGGCATGAATACCAGGAGGTGGGGGGGTCCTTACAGTCTGGCTGGCACATGGTATCATCTCATACTTGATTTCTCCTATTTTTTAGAATCATTTTATTATATTAACAGAATGGACAGAGAAAACTACACAAAACATATGTGCAGTGTAAGGAATAATAATAATTATTATTATTAAACGCACTTGTAACTACCCTTCAGGTCAAGAAATAAAGCCCTGGGCTTCCCTGGTTGCCCAGTGGTTGAGAATCCGCCTGCCAATGCAGAGAATACAGGTTTGAGTCCTGGTCTGGGAAGATCCCACATGCCTCAGAGCAACCAAGCCCGTGCGCCACAACTACTGAGCCTGCGCTCTAGAGCCCGCAAGTCACAACTACTGAGTCCATGTGCCACAACTACTGAAGCCCGCATGCCTAGAGCCTGTGCTCCACAACAAGAGAAGCCACCACAATGAGAAGCCCGCGCACCGCAACAGAGTAGCCCCTGCTCGCCGCAACTAGAGAAAGCCCGTGCACAGCAACGAAGACCCAATGCAGCCCAAAAATAAATAAATAAATAAATAAATTTATTAAAAAAAGAAAGAAAGAAAGAAAACCTTGCTGCCCACCCCAGAAGCTCTTTCATGTGCCCCATTCCCGTCACAAAACCCTCCGTCCACCTGAAAGGCATCCTGACTTTTATAGTAATCACTTACTTGCATTTCTTTAGAGTTTTTACACCCAAACATGCATCCCTAGCATAAACCCTAAAAAACCCTGATATATCTTTTTCTTAACGGCTTTGTTGAGATATAGTTTACATACTATAAAATTCACCTATTTAAAAATGTACAAATCAATGTGTTTTAGTATGTTTACAGAGTTGTGAAACCATCACCATAATCTAATTTTAGAACATTTTCATCACCCACAGGAAGAACCCTCATACCTATCAACAGTTGATATGTCTCTGAAGTCTCCTGATCTACAGCCTTCCCCTCCCTTTCTTCTCCTTATGATTCATCTGTAGGCTGTCAGGCTCTATTAGCACCTGTTGGAGAGGTGGAACTCCAGCTCTGTTGGATGGGGTTGAGCAGAAAGCCTTGCCACACAAACCAGCCAGACAATCTTTGACGGTGCATTTCACTTCTTTGCCTCTCTTTCCCCTGTAAAATGGAAATAATTATTATTCGCCTTTCCTTACCTTCCTCAAAGGGTTGCTGAAAGAATTGATGTAATAGATGAGGACACTAAAAGAATGCCAGGGTGATTATAACCACAGCAACAATGACATAACTATATTTTCATATCACACACCTTGATCTCTGACATCTGTAGATTCACACCTAATTTCCATACAGATCCTCGAAAACAGGAGCAAGCAGAGGTCTTCCCCTGTGATCTACTCATTTGCTCTCTGAGCCTCGTGACCACCCTGCGTGATGAGTGTTATCATCTTTCTGTTAACATACGAGGGAAGGGTGGGGGTCCTGGACGGGTTGAGGGCTTTGTGCAGGGCCAGTCAGCTGAGCGTGGCAGAGCTGGGAGCTGGCCCAGTGTTCCCACTGTCAAGTCTCTAACCTTAATACCCTCTGATAAGGTCCCAGTTGAGACCAGGACCTGGGCATCCACTTTGATAGGACACAGCTCTAAAGCCACAAGGTGCTCTTTTTTTCTTGTTGTTCGTGGCAGTTCTCAGTGTAGTGGCCTTGAGTTGCCTAAGCAGGGACAGGGCCTCTCTGTGCCAGGTGACCATTAAAAGGCTCTCTGTTCTCACTTTGTGCATTATGGAGCCTTTATCTTCTCACCCAGAGTCACCTTGATGTTTGCCTTTTGAAAGTGCCAAGAATTTAGAGGCCAGGGTTTTAGCTTCTTGAGGTCCTTTGATTAAATACCATCCTTTCAGGTGGTTTGGATAATGGGGCCTCTGTCCGCGTGGGGTTTATTGGCTGGCCACGTGATTTCCCCAAGCTGCAGCCAAAGCACAAGAATCATAGAGGTAGGGAACAAAGGTTATCATTTCTGGCTTCCTTGCTTTTGTCTCACGTTTTCCGTCGGCATATCCCTTCCAGTACACTGTGGAAAATAGCACCCTTCACTCAGACAAAACAGAAAATGCTCCCAAGGAGAAGAACTGAAGCTGAAATGCCAGTGGATGAAGGTACCTCTCACTGGGGTCTACACCGTGTCGGGGACGAAGTCATCCACCGTGGACCAAGCCAGACGTCCCATCAGGGGCTCCTGGGGCAGCCGCTCACCCCATCTGGAGATGTTTCTCTCAAACATCTAAGTGGTTGTACCCATTTTTGGGGTCTAGGGCTTTGGGTTCCTGGAAGAACCACCTGCTAAGCAGGAAGCCACCACCTTCTTAAGGCTCACAACAACCTCTAATACAGCTATACCTATCTGTCCCTTGCTTCTCCCTCAAGTACATTTTTTTTTTCCAGAAGTTTAATTTGAAGACTACTTCCTAGTTGATTGCAGAAACAAACCACAAAATGAAACAGTGCTGCTCTCTGGGGAGACCTCTCAGGCTGCCTTGCGCAGTTCAAGGGAGATGTCCCTTCCCCGGGGGGCACTTGGGGATTTTGACAGGAAAAGGGGACTCTTCCCTGGTATATGTTCAGCTCCATCACCCCCTACTCCTGCTGAGCCCTTAGCCCCAAATTCATCCTCATTCATAATTGCTCAAAACCCTAATCACTGGGTCCTTCCAGACAACTGCAGTCTTCTTTAATTATACATACTTAGGTTATGCCGAAGATTTTTAAAATATATTTATTTATTTTTATTTATTATTTATTTAGACTGTGCCGGGTCTCAGCTGTGGCATGCGGGCTTCTTAGTTGCGGCATGCATAAGGGATCAAACCTGGGAGCTCTACATTGGGAGCGTGGAGTCCTACCCACTGGACCACCAGGGAAGTCCCTGAAGATTTGTTTTGATTTGGGATTTATCTTCCTAACCAGCCATAGGTTTTTCAAGGACGGGGTTTCTTAAGCTTCAGCCTTTCATGTGCCATGATTCTTGTTACATCTGCATATCCCCTGTTCTTTTTTTTTTTTTTGGCAGGGCCACCTGGCTTGTGGGATCTTAGTTCCCGGACAAGGGATCGAACCCGGGCCCCCTGCAGTGGAAGTGCGGAGTCCTAACCACTGGACCAGCAGGGAATTTCCGTCTCGTGTACCATGTTTTACTTAATATTTTTCCTAAATCAACTCACATCTCCCCTTTTAGGTACATGTATTTCAAAAGGAAACTTTAAAATATTTATATAAATGAAAACCAGAATCATGTGTCTTAATTAGAGGGATAAGCCTAAATGTATGTTTCAAGAAAAACAAAACAGCGACTAGCTTGGTACCGCTGTCTGTCTAAGTTTCTGAACCTGAAGTGGGCTTGCGCTTTCCCTCTCTTTCTCTCTCTCTCTGGCTCAAAAGAAGATTATCAGGTATTTAAGATTTACTGAGGATTTCACCTTGACTTAATCAGGATAGAAAGAGAATAGAAAAAGGAAACCTTTCTGTCCACAAGAGTCACTGTTTCTGATGTCCCTGCACAACTTTTACACCTCTTATTCCACCACTTTGCGAAACGTGATTCTAAGAGATTGGTCTGGTGCAATATGGAAGACTGTGTCTTCCTTCCGTGTGAAGGGAAATTGTTTCACCTTTATTCTTCAAAATAAATACACCCTGGGGGAGAAAACTTATGGCTTTGGTCAGTGACAATCTCCAGGACACAGTGTCTTGGAGTTACCATAGGAGCTTTTCTGATACCACCTTCTGTACAATTAGTCACCAAGTTCTGACCCTCGGTTCTGCTTTCTCAAATCATTTCAACTCTGGCCCCCCCTCTTCCCTCTGCATCTGCTGTCTGGTTCAGACTCCCATCACATCTCTCCCAGGT